TCCTCTGGACAAACAAACAGAGGAGAACTTTTTTTTCACTGCACATCGGGGCTGGTGCAACATTTTAACATCAAAAATCAATGTTTCCCATCTTCACTTTCCACCGGTGTTGCCAGAGAACTCTCTTCCTCTTCCTCTTCCTCTTCCTCCTCCTTCGTCCTCACCTCGGGCCCAGTTTGACATAAACACACTGGGCTCATTAAAAGTCCATTAAGGAATATTCAGACGTGGTTAGACGCCGGTCGCTGATCTGTCATTATCATGGAGTCCAAACAGACCAGGGATCAGCGATGAAGACGAAGAGGAAGAGGAAGAGGCAGGACTGAAGGATGGGCACGGCCTGGTGCAGTCCAGAGAGCGGAGGCCGGTGAGACCTACCTGGGTCTTTCCTGCATTTGTGGACAAATGAGGACTGATGGTCCACCTCTGTCCCTGGACGGACGTCTTCATCACACAGGAGCGGTCGGATAAATGAACCTCCAGCCTGATATTATAAGATCCACCGGTGCCGTCAGGCCCTCATTCATAATTCATACCCAGTATTATTGGCAGCATAACAGAGGGTGACCAATGATGAAGGTCAAAGGTCAAAGCCATTTTTTTTTACTATTTTAAATTATGCCCACCCCCGCGTCCCCCTTCAAAAAAGGACTGAACGTCTCTGGAGTGATGAGGCAGCGATCGCAGCCCGTGATGACGGAGAGACGTCCAGTGAATGAGACAAAGAGACAAATATGGCAGCTGCTCCGACAGCTCCACCGGTGGCCGTCGCTTTGTATCATTTCCAAGAGGAGGGAACGTGGACATGTGGTGTGTTTGATCCTCAGACGGAGGCAGCGCTGGTTAACGATGCCGTCGGCTGAGGTGATTACGCCGCAAAGTGTTGAGTCAAATGTAATCACTCTTCCTTCAGTCGTCTGTTCTGGAAAACGCCGCCGTTGTCCTTCCATATGGAGGGAAATGAGTCCTCGGAGACGCCGAAGGACACGCTGTCCAGCTCTTACATTAGGACCGGCTGCACACTTGTCTCTCTGCGTACATCTGCACCGCAGCCTCTGTGGGGCGCCAGTGTGTCCGCGTGGGCCGCATGAGTATAAAGTAGGCTGTGGACAAGATGGTGTGGGCTACATGTTGGCCTGTTGCCCGCTACCCAGATAACAGAGCATTAGCATTAGGGGCTGATGGGAAATCCTGATGATTGTAATGTCACATTCTAATGTGCACCCACAGGTGGCGTAAGAGAGCGTTTATTTATCTTCTTTGTTGGTAATGGTGTCGTTACAGATAATCTAATTATAATAATTAATGTCACTAAGGCGACGGAGGGACATGATGTCGTGGTTTTATAGCATGTCACAAACAACGTTTTTATGCGCATACCGCCACCTACTGTACTGGAGTGGGATGAGCACCAAGTGTTTTTTAGAAAACACAGCCTACTCTTTACACCTTGATGCTCGATTAATTTTTTTTAGATGTAAAATCAGATGTATCAGATTTTAATTTATTCACTGTGCAACAATAAATCATTTTCAATTCTCTTTTCTAATCTCGTTTGATAAGTTAGTTAATTAAATATAGAAGTCAGTTTAGCTCCAATGAGGAACGTGACGACATGGTTTTGTCTCAGTTCTGAACTCTAACTGAGTCCTGTCATCGTGTCCAACCGCGAAAAAGTTCTGCGAACACATCGCGGCGTCCCCGGTGCAGCTGGTTAGCTCCTCAGACCCCGGGGGCTCTCCACAGGTCGTTAGCTCAGGCGAACAAACAGAGGCGCGGCGTAATGACCAGCTAACTGGAATAGATCAGCAGAGGTGAGCGCCAGCAGGGGGTGCAGCTGCCGCTGTGACAGAGATTGAAATGAGACTATTATCCATGTGGGTGTGTTTCGGTGGCGCTCACTCTCCGCCGCCGCCGCTGCTCCTCCGACCACGGTGATGAATGACATTAGCATGGAGTCACTGCTGCTGGCTGCACAAGCCTGGCTTTTAGCTCGGTGGCTACAAGCGACTGGGTGACTGCTCCAATCAGCAGCTATTTACTTGAAGGACTTCCCCACTGTGCCGCGTCAGTGAAATGTGCCCGCGGTGTCGCTCCGTGTTATGTTGTGCCATCGGCAGATAATTGAATCCACTGCTGTTATTCTGCCGTCGTTCCTGAAGAGGCGTCCATTGCACATGGCAGCCAGAAAATCCACTGGTTATTATCCAGTGTTTGACAGAGTGCAGTCTGCTGCTGCTGCTGCTGCTGCTGCTGCTGCTGCGTTGACATCCATCCCCAGAGGACATGCATACGAACAGACAGTTGTACAGGAGGTTTGAGGAAAGTGTGTCACTGTAATCTGGAGTTTACTGCAGGAGTCTGTCAGAGGAAAACACTGAGGCCACGGAGCAGCAACCACTGACAACTCTGAGGAGTGAGGCCTGAGTCATTAAGACACAGACTGAAGCCCAGAGTTAGTAACACAGTCAGACATGTTCCATATCCGTAGACCGTGGAACAAATAAGGACGTTGGTTCTTCCAGTGCAGGCTACGGTGGCACGGCTTGACGGAGGATGACGTTAGTGTTTACATAAACTCTGGTCTGAAGTACAGCGTCAGTTTCCATCTTTATAGAATAAGAGTCAGTTTGGTAAATTATGGTCAAATGTGGCGATGACTCGTGTTGGTTGTTGGTTAAATTCCCTGTTATTTATGGCTAACTATAAACTGTTTTTTTTTCACTGAATTCATACCTGTTTTCCGTTGGGTTTTGTTTGGCTACGTTCACCATTTTTCTGGGGCTAATGTAAGTCTGGATTTAAGCTAACTCTAAACTTTTTTTTAAGTGTCTTTTTTTTCTTGTTTTCCAAGTCTGGATTTAAGCTAACTCTAAACTATTTTTAAGTGTCTTTTTTTTTCATGTTTTCCATCTGGTTTCTGGCTTAACTTCTGACTCATTTCAGCGAACATCACACTGTTCATACTTTTGGTCAAACCTAAAAATGTGAAGGAGATTTTGACCCTCTCTTAGTCAAGGACACGGTCACATGGTGTTTAAAAATGGTAGGAAGGGTTTGTGAGAAATAGTCAAGGACACGGTCACATGGTGTTTTAATTTGGTAGGAAGAGTTTGTGAAAGAAGTTGGTAGAATGTTTTGAAATGAGATGCAACTAGTGGTCAAAGTAGGTACTGCAACTGTGCATACTATTGACTTTTCCTAGGTGAATCTCCAGCTCAGACTCTGTCAGCTCCCCTCAGTCCTGGTGGATATTTAAGCCCCTCCCTTTCACTCCGTTCTCAGCCACAGTCGTCCTGCGGAGCCATAATGACAGTGTCATTTCAGCTGCACCTGCAGAATAAAGTCCGACTCCTGCAGGATCAGCGTCTGCGTCCGTGTGTGTACTTTTGTCAGACGTGCGTACCTGCTGTATTTCCTGTGTATTTGTGTGTACACACAGGTACTTTAAGCCCCCCATTCATCACAGCCGTGCTCGCCGGAGTCGGGCTTTAGCTGCAGATTAATCGGTTCCGGCCCAACACTGCTGCCGCGCCGCTGCTCATTAATCTACTTCCCATGAACAATATGTTGGTCTGCACAGCTCGGTGTGTACAACATGGCCGCCGCTGTTAGAGAAATGACGGGATGTGAGAGCACTTTGGAAAGACTCACCTCAGGAGGAAGGAGGTGGGTTGTGAGTGCGGTGCGGTCCGGTTGGGTCAGTGTTTCCATTTGCTTCCAGTTTCCATCCAGTGTTTTTGACCAGACTTTCAAAATAAGAGCTTTCTCTCAGACCAGAGGTCAAACGTCCAGGACAGAGTTTAGAGTTTGGAAGAACCCTGACCCAGAGGCTGGGAAGAACAGCTGACTGGAGTTGGTGAAAATATGGGCCAGACTGGACACTCAAGCTTTTATTTTGTCGGGAAAGTTGGGTGGACAGGAAGCAGTTTTCAGTCTGTGAGGAACATTTGGTACATAATTATTATGATTTTTTTTCTTCCGCTGAAGAACAACTTATTTCATCTTGAAGAAAATTTTCTTCAAATCTTGCGTTTTCGTCTCGTCAGTCTAACTGTCGTGATTCTCTTGACCACTTCCCTCCTGTCCTTCTCCTCACGGCCATCCTGCACCGCTCTGCGTATTAATTGTGGTTTTGAAAAAAGAAAAAAAAATTCCCAGCCCAGACGCGGTGGGACGGTCGATGCCAGTGACTCAGAACTGAAGGATAAGACGGAGGAAGCTTGGCCTCCGTACAGACGCTGTTCCTCCCTGCTGACTGTGAACTTGGCGAGAGCCGAGAAGAAGATGAAGAAGAAGAAGAAGAAGCAGCAGCAGCACGTTGGCACGCACCGCCGCCCAGAACTGGCACTTTGTTCAGAGTCATCAAGCTTCTCATTCCCCACACTTCCACCGCCGCCGCCGCCGCCGTCGTCCACATTTCCACACGTTACAAGTCGTTCTGGCAGAGAAGACGCCGGAGTTGAAGAAAAACTCCTGAAATTCCCTGGATTTGTCTGTGAAAATTCCTAGGTTTTTGTGCTTTTATGAAGCTTTTGAACATTCATTCCCTCACAGCCGTTCTGTGACTTGTTTCTTTTTTTAAATCTCTGTGAATGTCTTTTCCTTTTCTTATCTTTTCCAACTGTCAGGAGGAGCAGACAAAGCCGTGATGGTAGTTTGAGCTGCAGGCCTGTGGTGGAGACCTGGTCGCAGCACTCAGTCTCTGACTGATGGTAGAGGTTGTTGGTTGACACTGACATCAGTTCACTGGAGCGTGTCAGACCATCCTCTACTGGAGAAGAAAAAAAAAACAAAAAAGAAAAAAAACACTTTAATCATTTAAGGCGTCTGTCTTCCTGCAGCATGAAGAGAGAAAACATGTTGTCAGGTTTATGTTTTTTTAATCCCAACCCTGCGGAGTGTGAGCTCTTTAAGACACGACACCGTACTTTATTTCTGAAGGTGTCGGGAATGTTTTGGATACAAGTCTGACACGTCCTCCGCTTCATTAGGAGGATTCACATTCCATCACTAAGAATTAAATATGTTTCTATATATATATATTTTTTTTTTTTCTTCATTGTAACAAATTTGATCAAACGACAAAACCTGAGATTTAATCCAATTTTCACACCGTTCCACCTTTGGCCGTGAGTTCTGTTCATTTTTCAGGTGAAGTAAACAGATTCCGATGAGGAGAACGCAGACGCAGAGTCGACCTCGACAGTTGATCGTTTGTTATCTTCCACGGTAACTTTGAGCCTCCTGCGTCGCTGCGCGTCTCGTCGTCGGCGTCGTCTAATTAAAAAGGACGTTAACTGGAGCTCTGTTTCCATGCCAATCTATCTTGGGTTACAGACTGAAATGCCAAGTGATGACGGCTCCGTATTTATAAAGCCCCGACTTCAGTCTTTACATCTACCTTTGTTTTTCATCCGTTCTTCCTTCTGTTGCAACTTAAATTCATTGAATTCCCTCCTCACTCTTCCTGACTCTCCATCGTCCTCTTTCATCTACTACTACTCTCACTTTTATGGCTCTTCGTAGCCGCTGCAGTGTTTATGTACAGTAATGGCCTCTCGGAGCGCCGTTTTCCTCCGTAGCCTTTTAAGTGCGTTTGGCGTTTCCTCCCCATCTGGCCGTAGCTCTGTGCAGAGAGTTGCTTTTGTTAAAGCCGGAGACGACGGCCGTGGGAAACCAGTGACTCTGAAACGTACTTAGCTCCTCCAACGACTCCCTCCTGGGCTGTGGAGGCAAAGAGCTGCCGGGAGACCCAGTGTGTGCTAATGGTCCAAAATAGATCATCCAAATAAGTTTGGAGATGAGAAAATATCAAGTCCTGACCCTGAAAAATTCCTGCAACTGAATTTCATTTTCACCGCAGATCAATTTCATGGTCACAGAGCAGTAAATTAGGCTTTTTGGGTTTTTTTTTTTTTTTTTTTTAAATGGGAGAAAAACATGAACTGATCTGTCAGTCAAGTACTCAAGTACTCAGTACATGCTACGCTACAACCTGCAGAGATAGAAATAAAAGATATTCTCAATCAGACCTGACTCCACACACAAACACAGACTCTCAAAAACGACTTTTATTGGTGGTCGTTTTTATAGTAATCGCCATATGCTGCCCCTTGGTGGCGCCGTGCTTTAACTGGCTACAATGCTAAGCAGTGGGCTAAAACGAAGAACTAAGCAACCGCTACCTCTTGTGGTGCCTTGAAGGTACTGCTTTAGTCTAGGAGTCCAGACTGTAGAACTCTTCAACTCACTTAAATCAACAGCATGTAATTCACCGTGGTTTCCTGTTGGTGCGGTCAGGTGGCTGCTCGGTCTGAGCGACGGCTGCACAAGACAAACAAACAAAAAGAAAAACCAGTAGAGACTTGTTTTTTTGGTCAAATGGAAACATGGGGTGAAATGTTTCCTTTAGTGTCACATGGTTCAGAAAAAAGAGGCCAATCAGACCCAGGTTCTGTCCGGCGCTAATGTTCTGCTTTACAACTACTCAGAGTATTCTTCCCCCCCCCTCCCACCCCCTACCCCCCGCC